TTGATGCTCATCTAGTAGCAAAGGGTCTAAATAAAAGTTCTTGATAGGGTGCTGAAGTCTCTAATTCGCTCTCGAAGCGAATTAGAGACTTCAGCACCCTATCAAGAGTCCAACTTGGTAGTAGTCACTTTTGGCTTTCATTACCTCTTAAACTTTGTATCACTGACTGCAATATTTGTAGATGAACAGTGTTAAGTTGAAGAATCAGAAACTTCATAAGGCTTCTTTCTTGTTCTTACTTGCTATATCCCGACATTCAAATTTATTTTTCGCCTTTGTGACTTTTGATTACATCAGTCAAGATAATATGTCATATTTTTGTAAATCAAGAATTCCACGATGCCGATATGCGTCTGGGTTTAAGGCTTGTTTGCAATTCTCGTTTTTAAGGTGCGGCGCATGTACTTAGATAAGATTTTCAAACGAATGTTTTTCTGTGGGGAGTTTCTTCACCTCTCCGTCATTTAACGCAGGTTCGCTGTCCTTTGAACTACTCATCGCTTCTGAACTGTTATCAGCTGCCGGAGCATTAGGCAAAGGCTATAGTATGAATTTCACATTATCTATGGGTCACACCGACCTTAACATTCAATTCATCGTTCAGTCACATGGACCGGGAGGAGGCGAATAAAAATATCTGAACTTTCTTCATTCCTCATTTCCTTTTAAAATTTCTTGAGTGTTTTTAGAGAGCAAATGTGGTTACCTCTTCAAGATACAAAGATAATTAGATTGCTTCTGATTTTTCCGGCAGAAAATCTTGCCCTTTTTCACTTCCATTTCATTGGTTAGACTAAAAACAGTGTACTGAACCATGCAACTTCTTTTAAAAATGCTAGTCACATCCTGTCTTCACAAAGCTTTAGAAAATTCAAATCAGGCGATTTGATATTTTGCTGACTGGAAAAGGTCTCAAAAATTTTGATGTTGTTTTCATAAGTTTATTTGTGAAAAAAATTTCTCGGTTTTTTATAAATGAAACAGCAAATAGAGGCGAACAGGATTGTCCCAAGTGATTGTTGGCCTGCATATATTAACTTCGAATTTTCTTTTATACAGAAACAGTGGGTATTTCTCAGTGAGCACGTCATTAAAGTTTTCTTTTTTTTTTCCACAGAATTCCACTAAAATATCTCAAACCAAAAATTTATGTTAGTTGTACAATTGAGCATTGCAAGATCATTAAAAATACTAAATACATAGTTATTACGACACTGAATGACCTTATTTCTGAAGCTAGCAACAAGGAGATTTCGTTTTCTAGTGTGAAAACTATATTTCAGTTATGTAATGCTAGAAATATCACAGTCTAAATAAAACAAAACTGATAACAACAACAAAAAAATCGGTCCATAGTTCTATGAATCCTTGTCTTATTGATAATACTGATCATGAATGAAGAATGTACTAAATGAAGTTAGTAATGAGTGTCGATGGGCGGTCGTGGAACGCCTAGCTGATTTGCAGTTCTGAAATGAGAACATTAGGACGATAATTATTCAGCGACTACTCAATTCTAAAAGGAAATGCCTTTAAAATAGTAGTGTAGTACGTATGTATGACGAAATAATTTGAGTGTTGTTTGCAAATAGTTTAAAATTGTACTTTCACCATAATTCTCTTGTTATGCACCTCACCTTGATAACGTGTTATCGTAGCCTATCAGAATACCAGGCGAGCGAGGCATAAAATCCTGCAAAATTTGTCATTGAGTGGAATGAAACATACTTGTACTCAGCATCGTAATTTCCCGCAATCAAGGATTTTTCATTTGGTTCTCGTCATCTCTTCGAGTCTTGGCGAAACGAAGGTGGCACCCCGTTTCTATAAAACTTCGGTAATTTGGCTTACTGCCAAAATGCCCTGTTTCGGTTCTTTTTGCAAAATGTTTAAGAAAATGAAGTAGGAATGTTTATTTTTGCAAAAGAAAAGCGCTATTTATTTTGATCTATCGCAACTAGCTTCCTAACAACAAGTCTAGCCTTGTAGAGGTGCAGTAAGCAAATGGGGAAAAAAAGAGGAAAAAGCCTATGCCTGAACACAGTAAAGTATTTTCTTGCATGCTCTGGTTACAACTCAAAACAATAAGCAATGAAATGTTAGCAAAATAGAAGCGCTAATTCATCTAACATGATTCATAAGATTCTCCCAACTTATCACTTTGTGAAATAGGGTAAAAAGTGCTACTTATGAGTTTCTTTCCACAAGAACAATTGTCGATAGAGGACCTTGAGAATTGACAGCGTTTCTTACTCTAATATGGCAAACTGTGCGACGTCTAGTAGTTTTCAGTGCAATTAGAACATGTTCGCATGCTCAAAGAATGTAACTAAGAAATTGTCTTTTTTTTTTGAATTGTAAATTGGAAACGATCAGAAATCGCCGTCCAACCTAGGCGAGAGGAAGGCGAAATTAGGGAAGGGAGAGAGGGGAGAAAAAGAAATCACGAAAAGAGAAGTACGAACCTAGCTTCAACAAAAGAAAGAAGTAGTTTGGCGATCTCATTCATTCGTAGTGGCTTGTAGATATTTTCTTCTAAGTAAAGAAGTTGTCATTGCTGTAATAACCATCTATTCGTTGAATCTTTTTCAAATTTCATGGAACCATGAAAATTGCTGCCGTTCTCGGCTACAATTTTTTGTTGAAGATTATCTATCAATCCTTTTTTTGTCAACTGAAAATATTCTCATTATCTTCGCAGTTCTGCCAGTTGATGTCAAGAGCCCTCTAAGATCGCTAATGAAATAACAAATAGGAGTTATTTCAGAAATCCTTGTGCATTAAATTGAAGTATTTTACAATTAAGAAACATGCCTGCTTCCCGAAATAGCTCTAAGATATTGACTAACATTATTTTCCTTAGTTTCTGCTTACAGCTGAGTGAGGGTAAGATGATCTGACCTAAAGATATATTGTAGACAAGAAATTATTATACCCTCTGTGATAAAGTTGTCTAGTGAAAGGTTTAACTTGTTTTGCGGTCAAAGAGCGAGCAAAAAAAAAACAAAGCAAAAAGAATAAGCACACGAAAAACAAAAAGAAATATCCAATGTTCTGTACGCTTTTTTTTAAAATGCTCTTCGAACAACTTACACAGTTTCTTATAAAGCCGTTAAGAGAAACGAAGAAAAGAAATAATGAGTAACATGCATTATATTTGAGCAACTTTATTACCACCTTCCAACAAAATAATCGAGGGTACTCAAACAAGCTTCTAAAGTAATATACAATGTACAACTCAAAAGAATCATCTATAATCCAAACAAATAACTTGTTGAAAAACTTAAGGTACTGAAAATTTACATAATCCAACAAAGAATTCCATGCTGAACAAAATGAAACCCATAAATGCATGCAGAAAAGGCCTATTTCTGCCACTTAATAGGCCCTGCTGAGAGGCTGCTGTCGAACTTGAGCCTCGGCAACGTAAGCGACCGGCTTTTGTCGAAGTTGTTGGGTTGGTTCCCCATTATAATTCACAGGCACACTTACATTGTAACCCTTATGGGTAAGCTCTAGGTCTTCATTGAGTCCGTGAAGTCCGACAAATATTTTGTACAACCAAGCTCCGATCAACGCGCCGATTAATGGGCCAACAATTGGAATCCAGAAGTAGAATCCATAAGCGCTAAAATAGAGAAGAAATTATTCATTGTGGAACCCTATGTAATTCGTTACTACTGAAATGCTGAAACTTGAGTTAAACAATAGATATTACAGAATCTGAACAAGCATCTTAACGGAAGCGGGACGGCAGGAAGGAAGAAGAGAAAGGAGGGGTGTTGTATGTGAATGGTGGATGAAATACTGCGTAATTGGTCTCAGATTTGATACAACGGACTACATAAATTGCTCGAAGTACTATTGAGAAATTTCACTTTTGTCTTGGGACTCTTTCCAAGGTTATGTTTGTCTCGTTCAGAAGTGGTACAAATTATACAGGTTTTTTCGTCATATCAAATTTATCTGTGTGTCATAGAGGAACTTGTAAATGATTAATGCGTAAAATTTCGTGCAGCCTTACACGCATCAACTCTTCGGAAGATTCATTCCAACGTTTGCTACACTTTTAGTGGTTTTTGTAACTTCAAAGTAGTAGAAAAAAAACCTATGTAATAATGTTCTTAAGTAATTATGAACTATTGCGGATTTTTTTCCAAGTTTAGAAAATCAAAAACTGATGCTAAAGAGAAAGTTATTTGACGATTGTAGTAATTGAAACAGGTATCTCTCATCATCGATTTACTCCGTTCGTGATTTCGTGGTAGAAAAAGGTAATCGGGGATTTGAAATGTAATTGCAGTCAAGGTTATATAACAGGCATTTTAGACTGTCAGTAAGAGTGATTGTCTTTTAGATTCACCACACTTTGATGTGGACTGATTTATAAATCGAAAGTTATAAACTGTAATTGTGGCGACCACATACACACCTGAACACCTCCCATCCATAGCCGGCACAAAGAGTGAAAAGTCTTGGGCCAAGATCTCGAGCTGGATTGATGGCGAAACCACCATTGGCACCAAATGTCATTGCGACCTGTAAGAAGTGCTGAGTTATTTCTCAAAAATTTTAGCTCTATTTTAGTCTTCACACCATTGACATAATCGCACCAGCCAAGGGCGGAACTAATCCAGCTGGGATTCTGTGCCTTTTATCAGTTATGAGGCATATAAGACCCGCTAGGATTGCAGTACCGATTATCTAAATCCAACACATTTTTAATAAATTTTTTAAATGAGAGAAAAACCACTTACTTGGTCAAGAAGGCTTCCCCATACACTCATCTGAGGAGTAGGGAATGTCGTAAACAGGCCGGCAGTAGCTTGTGAACCAACCACCTGTCGTACACCACCGTCAAGCTTCCAGAGATCGTCTGCAATAAGTTGTTTATAAAGATACATAAAACTCTCATCTTTGGATACTCACCATGATGTCCGAAGTAACTAACAGCAGTTCCCAAGTAAGCACCGATAATCTGGGCAATAGTGTAGAGGATGACCTTCCAAGCCGGGATGTTGCCGAGTACCCATTGAGCCAATGATATGGCTGGGTTAAGATGAGCACCTGAGGATTAGCTAGCCTTTAGTTTACTTTATTTGAACTCTCTAATTCAGTGACAAATTACCTGATACACTAGCAGCTAGATATACAGCAAACATAAATCCAATACCCCATGCTATATGACATGATGTCATATTTCCACCAACAGAGGCTGCAGCTTGGATATTGGCTGCGGTACCAATAAGCTGTAATATTGAAAATTGACTTTTGTTTTAGCAGATTTAAAGTATAAATTTGTATTCCAGTCAAAATTTCAAAGGCGTTTTTCCATGCTTTTTTGAATAAGAACTTGCTTACCAATAGAAAGAATGTGCCAATCGTCTCGGCTAGCAACTCTCGTACGAGTTTGTTGTCCTCGATGCGGAGCGTATTACTAATGCGATCTCTTAACTCGTCCATTTCTGAAGAGCATCAGATAGCACAAAAACATCTTTTTACTACAAATGTAATGTCGAATATTGAGAAATTAGGAGGGAAACAAGTAATACAAGCAAATTTATTCTGTCGCCAGTAGTGAGACATTGCCTTAGTGTAGCGATGGGAAAAATGTTTATGAAGTTGATCATAAGTGAAAAATAACAGCCATTCAGAGTATCATATTGGAGACAGTACTTGTATCTAGTGAGGGGGCGAAAACCGTGCGACATTGTACCGCCCCGCACATTAAGGCTGATTCTCGCTTTATTACTGTGAACGTTGACCTCTTAGAAGTGGTTACAGTTAAGGAACTAATTCTGATGCGATGAGGAGAGGATTATTCAAAAATGCGAGGTAATGAAATCATACATTAAGTGCTGCATTAGAGGCAGTGATAGCTGGAAGTTAGCAATTTTGTTTGAAGGAAGAAGGATTTTTTGGTGGGTAACAGAAAAATGGTATGACCGCCCTATAGCCAGCATTAAACAGCAATGTTATAGAACCTTTTTCATAAAGATAGACTATGGACATTAATTTGCGTCGAAAGAAATAAAAACTGTTCACACATCACAACGGTCATATCATTTCTCTCATCTTCAAAAGTCATTGTAGAAAAGCTATCCGGTTCTGCTATCAGACTATCAGGTGTACGAAAATAGAAAGCATGGATAGATGTTTTGTTTGCTTACCGTTACGTTCACTATATGAAGGGGGTGCGTATGAATGCGCTAGCGGTACTGTACAGTCGTAGCCTGTTAGAAGTGTGAAAGGTGGGAAAGATGGCAGAACATAAATAAGTGAAAGTTGTAAACAAGTTGTGGTGTAGGGTCAGTGCTTAGCCTACTTCTTTGTAGGGTCTCGATACAGATCAGACAAAACAAAATACTAAAAAAACCGGTACCTATGCTGTAAAATCGACTATGTGGGGGAATGATATGTTTTCTTCAGATGTGAGTTAGCGATGCACACAATGCGGCCTTTACAAACGCATCAAGAAAAACCCCCCGCTATGTCTGCAATTGGAGTAAGTTTCTGCAATAACTTGTCTTTAATATTATGCTAAAAAGATTTTGTAAAGCAACGAAAGACAAAACGGTGCGATTGCACTAAAGTGCATTACTAATTCTACCCTTACTTCATTTTATATGCACCGTTGCCCTCTGACATTGGATTATTTAAACAGTTTTTTTCCTTTCAAAAACGCTTACGTGAATCAGAAGTGTGAACAGTTGATATTGAAAATAAAGAATGAACGGAATAAAAAAGGAGAAATTATCGATTGGTATCTCATTCTCACTGAGAAGGCGATCAGTATGAAATAGCTTATCATTTATTTTTGAACAAGCATCATAGGTTATAACAAACCGATTGTTTTTTTCTACTTTTTTCCCTATTGGTCATTGTTATGATGAGCAAAGGATAGACAAATAAAAATAAATTGACGAATCCACAAAAGTTTAAGCTTTTAGTTTTGTTTTCAAATATTTGCAGGTTAAACGTTCAAACGTCGAACGAACGTCAAAATGTTGTTATTTTTGAATTGCAGTTAACCTTGATTACAAACCTTTGAAATTCAAAGAAAAAGTGCTAAACAATCCAATTCTGTCAAATGTTGTGGGTACCAAATCAGTACTACTTGGGATTATTGAATCAGTTCAATGCATTCCTACATAAACCGTCAGTTGATGCTTTCCGGTTTGAGTAGGGTCCTGTTTTATTCAGGCAGATTGTTTGAATGAACCACAGTAGACAAATAGAGAAATCAGTTCCCATCAAAAATGATTTGAAAATAAATAGTTAAGTGATTTTTCCTACATGAAATAAAGAGAATCTAGGCCAGATCTTGTAACTGCATTCCTTTTCTTTTAAAGGTTCCTATTTCCACTATGAATGATTTGTCATAGTCAGCACAGATTAACGTTACGAAAAGATCAGATCGCTTTTAAAAAGAGGAAAAATAAGTTTCAAAGTTGACTAAGCAGCTTTGAACCGTTTAAACCAGCATGTTGATGCAAAGTTCTTCTCATTGAAGTAAGAAGCAGCCTGCATTCTCCAAATTAGCTGATTTGATCAGAAACGGCAATTTAGTTGTCCAGTCCTCAATCGTGTCATAATTACTACTACTGTAGAAGAGAAATTAACCTAGCATTAGGAACAAGAGATGTGAAAGCAGGAGACCAGAAATCTTTCAACGCATCATATGCTTAGGTTAACGGCGGGACGAGTTTACGAGTTGGGTGAAGTCGAGTGCTTTTGTAGCTGCTAGAGCCGGCTGACTCACATATTCGACGAGTGTGTCCTAATTATTCGGTCGAATTGACCCCGCTTCACGCTAAAAGGACATAGTAAGTGTAGGGTTAGGGACGAAAGCGAACGTGAAAATTGTGAATAGTTATGTGGATGCAAATCGACCCATTGTTCTGAACTATGGAAAATCATTGCAGGGATTTTATTTCGCACTTACCATAAGCAGCATTTCGAAAGCACGTGCAAGAGAATTTGCATATAAAATGGCAACTAGGAGCGATCGCGTAAATTGCATACTTGGTGTAGGCACTTTACAAATCTATGAATCAGCAGAATCAAAATTACTTAAGCAAATTTTGTTCTCCCGCAACTGAACGAGCGAAGTACGTCGAACTACGTTAGTGCACAATTCATGTACATATCGCTGGTAGAAAGGATTAGAAAAGTACGAAAGACTGAAGTGCAGTTTGTTACGAATACCTTACACTTCATTTTGAAAACACTTTGCAAAACTTGACAATTCTGTCTGAACCAAATACGTCCTTCATATTGAACTCTATGAACGTATGTACAGAGGCGAGGTATACAGAATATAGTTTAAATGTGAATAACTTTTACGCTTGCGCATTGGCGACGTCATGCTTCTTTAGCTATTCACGGAACAAGTTGAAGGGCAAAAACATCTCCGAATCATTTTTCGACTGCAGCTCTGCTTGAAACAAGTTGCAGGCAAAGGACACGTTACAGCATACAGTTTGATGAATATATCGAAAATGTTTCGCGGCTATTCTCTTCGATATATCTATGCTTGTGTCATTATTTCTCGTAAGTCTGCATACCCGTAACTTGGAAAAAAAAATTTTTCCAAATTGGTTACACTGTTTTTAAAACTGTAGTATGAAATAATTCACTGCTGTGCACTGTGTTCGACCAATTTCTAATTATTCATTGAAGCCAAATTTCGACCTGGCTTTTGTTTGCGTCGAAAATCTGACTCATATTACAGACCAGATCACGAAAAAGCTCCATTTCATCTTTGAGTTCTCAGAATCGTTCGTTTCCACAACCGTACAGTTGTTAGCTCTTTTGGCTTATTAATGCAAGTTGTTGTGATAAAACTCAATGCCCTTTGAAAGATTCTTTTTTACTTATGCCCATATCTTGAATTGCTTGATGAAAACGTTGAGCATAGCGATCTCTTTTTACAAAAAATGAATGATTGGAAGTAGGCTATTACTAGAATGACGAGGAATTCTTTCTTTATTAAGTCCAAGTTAAAAATTCTGGACATCTAAAAATGAAAGCTTCCATAATTT